TTTCTGCGGCGAGTGTCAGGCCAGGGTAAGAAAGCAGCCGAGCCTGGAACACCCCTCCAGCGCCCGGCTGCCGACCCCAGACGCGGACGGCGGGGGGCGGGCAGCTCTCCCGGTCACTGCTTGGCTTGGTGGTGGCCGCGGCCGGGCGCCTGCCTGGGCCTCCCTCCCAGTGTGTCTCTGCGCTGCCACGTCCGTGTCCACGGGCCCGGGCGTCCTGTGGGCGGGGCGCCCTGTGGGCGGGGCACCCTGTGACGGGCAGCCCGTGGGCGGGGCGTCCTGTGACCGGACAGCCTGTGGGCGGGGCCTCCTGTGGGCGGGGCGCCCTGTGACTGGACATCCCGTGGGCGGGGCGCCCTGTGGGCGGGGCGCCCTGTGACTGGACAGCCCGTGGGTGGGGCGCCCTGTGGGCGGGGCGCCCTGTGACCGGACAGCCTGTGGGCGTCGCCTCCTGTGGGCGGAGCGCCCTGTGACCGGCATCCTGTGGGCGGGGCATCCTGTGGGCGGGGCGTCCCGTGGGCGGGGCGCCCTGTGACTGGACATCCCATGGGCGGGGCGTCCTGTGGGCGGGGCGTCCCGTGACTGGACAGCCCGTGGGCGGGGCGGGGCGTCCTGTGGGCGGGGCGTCCTGTGACTGGACAGCCCGTGGGCGGGGCGCCCTGTGACCGGACAGCCTGTGGGCGGGGCCTCCTGTGGGCGGGGCGCCCTGTGACTGGACATCCCGTGGGCGGGGCGCCCTGTGGGCGGGGCGCCCTGTGACTGGACAGCCCGTGGGTGGGGCGCCCTGTGGGCGGGGCGCCCTGTGACCGGACAGCCTGTGGGCGTCGCCTCCTGTGGGCGGAGCGCCCTGTGACCGGCATCCTGTGGGCGGGGCATCCTGTGGGCGGGGCGTCCCGTGGGCGGGGCGCCCTGTGACTGGACATCCCATGGGCGGGGCGTCCTGTGGGCGGGGCGTCCCGTGACTGGACAGCCCGTGGGCGGGGCGGGGCGTCCTGTGGGCGGGGCGTCCTGTGACTGGACAGCCCGTGGGCGGGGCGCCCTGAGACCGGCAGCCTTGGGCGGGGCGTCCTGTGGGCGGGGCGTCCTGTGACTGGACAGTCCGTGGGCGAGGCGTCCTGTGGGCGGGGCGCCCTGTGACTGGACATCCCGTAGGCGGGGCCTCCTGTGGGCGGGACGCCCTGTGGGCGGGGCTCTTACTGACAGTCGGCTCCAGGTGTGTGGTCCCGATCCACCAGCTCTCACTTCACCCTCCAGCCTCACAGCTTCTTCTAAAAACCCCTTAATGTGGATGCATCCGGAAATACTTCGGGGGGATGGAGGTTCCCGGGGGTGACGCAGGTCAAGGGCACAGTGTCTGGCTCCCAGCCCCCCAGGCCCTTCTCTGGGTGGGCGCCCAGGACAAGGAGCTGGTTCAGGGCCCTCCCTGCAGGCCGACCACAGACTGTGCCCGGGAAGGACGTGTTGGGAACTGAGGCTGACGGAGAGCCTCCCGGTGGGAACAAGGTCGGGGCTAGGGGTCAGGCCACCCACACGGGCCGGCCACCTGGAGCCACACACACACCATGTCACTCCATTTTCAAACATCCACAAGGGCGGGTCACCCTTATGCCCAGCTCACATATGGGAAAACTGAGGCATGGTCCCTGAAGCCTCTGGTGCCGTGGTCTAGATCTGCCGCCCACACCACAGACCTCCAAAGCCTCAAATGGCAGAGCAGGGCCACGCTGGTGGGGACGCCCTGGGTGAGTGGGCCACAAGGCTGCCAGGGGCTGGGCGAGCCCTGGAGGGGACATGGCTGCGGGGGCAGGGTGCAGGGTGGACAGGGAAGCATCCCTGGTCCTGAGGCCCCACCTTCTCTCAGGTCCCGGGAGTGGAGGTGGGTGGGGGCAGAGGTGGGGTGGGGGCGGGGGGTGAGCCCCCCACCTGAAGGCCGCCCTCTCGCCCAGTGCAGGGAGGTGGCACGGAGCCCGTCTGCACAGGCAGCCAGGCCCCTGCGTGTCCATCCACACTCACATCGTTCTCGTCCCCTCCTGCTGCACCACAGGCCTGACCCCGCCAGGCAAAGGCACTTCCACAGCTGCCCGGGCCCTCCCATGGGCCTCGGGGGTGCCCCAGCCCGGTCTGGACTCTGCCCTTCAAGCCCTGGCCAAGGGGACTCTTCCTCCCCTTCTGAGCCTCCCTTCCCTGGCCCACCTCTTGGGCCCTGTCCACGCTCTGTGCTGCAGGACGGGGGACCGTGCCCTGCCCCTCCTGCCTGTGGGCACCCCCCACCCCACCTGCCCAGCGGCATCTGCAGTGACAGCGACCAGCCAGGCTCGGGGCTGTCTGAGATGCTCCAAATCCTCCAGTTATTAAACGTGCCGCTGGCCCCGGGAGACGGGCGGGGGTGCACAGAGGCTGAGGAGTTCCTTGAGTTGTCACTGTGGGTGGGAGGGTGGAGGGCACGGCTGGGGTGGACCCTGCGGGGGGGGGGGGGGGGGGGGGGGGGGGGGGGGGGGGGGTGTCGCCATGCTCAGCCTTAATGGTGCCCATAGCAGGCATGGGACACATGTGCCAGCGAGACTCCACTGTGTGCAAACCCTGTGTGGGGATGGGGCCCCAGGCCCCAAGAGCTCCGGGCCAGGCGAGGGTCACAGGCTCCTGCCCCTGAAGGCAGATGGAGGACTTGGACTCGGTGTGCCTCTCCTGGGCTGCCTGGCACCAGGGGCGCCCTTCTGCACAGCTGGGCTCAGGGGCTCTGCAGCCACCCCAGGCTGGCCTGCAGGACCTGAGCGGGGGGTGGGGGGGTGGGGGGGGTGGAGCGGGGTCAGGGCTGCCGTCCCCTCCCTCCAGGCCTGGCCCCGCCCCCTCCCTGCAAGGGGCTTCCTGGAAGTTGTCCTCTCTGCTGGGGTCCCAGCAACGAGGCTGAGCTGGCAGCTGCTACCTCCAGCCACGCTGCCTGTGACTCAGTGACCCTCTAAGGGAGAGTAGCTGCCTGGGGTCACGTGAGAGCCAGGTCCCGGCCCCAGGTGAGCTTTGGAAAGGGCATCATTACTCAGCCATCCCCTCATCCTCTCCTCGGTTCACTCTGGGGATCAGGGCCCCCACAGGCCTGGTGAGGGGTCATGAGGGGGACCACACCAGAGGCAGGGGCACATGACGGGTGTCCTCTGGGGCTGCCCTGGAGGAAGGGAGCGCCCTGTGCACGCAGTCTGCAGGGGAGTGCTGGGGCCCGGGGCTTCCCAACCCACGGCAGATTCCTGCTGAGGAGGGGCAGCCGGCAGGTAACTGCCCTGGGGACCTCGGTGTGTCCCGAGACTCAATTTTCTTGTCCCAAATGCAATGTGAACACAAATCCAATAAGCCTGCACATCACTCAGCCACGGCTTCGAGCCCCAGCACTGGCGATCGCCCTGCCTGAGGACTCAAGCCCAGAAACGCTGCAAGGCTGGGGGGCTGTGTAGGGCAGGAAGGGCCGGGGCGAGCTGTGGTCACTCCCAGCACTGGGCCCCGGGGCCAGCCATTTACTGGCCTCTGATCAGGCCGTGCCCTCGGCAGCCGCATGTGGTGGACGGCGTCACCCACTCTGCAGAGGGAGAAGCAGGCACGGGGGCCACCTGCCCGGCCACTGGGGGAACAGGGGCTGAGCCTGACTCGGAGCCAGCAGGCTTCCTGGGGTGTGTTCACTTCCGCCTCTGGACCAGCTGTCCCTCCCCAGCAGTGCTCTGTCTGGGGTGGGGACCCGGCCCCAGTGGGGGGCACCCAATCAAATCCTGCTGGACCAGCCTTGCTGCAGGGTCAGGTCGTCCTTGAGCACCTGCCTTGGGGACCACGTCCCATCAGGATGGCCCTGCACCCAAGGTCGCTGGAGCTTGGCCCTGGCCCTGTGTCCAGTGAGCACCCTGGGTCGGTAGGTTCTTAGGGGACCTCGCCCAGGCAGCTCTGCCGTGCCCGGCTCGGGGAAACGACGCTGTGTAGAAAGCAGGCTCTAAATAAAAGGTGGGTCCAGTGGCCACCCATCCTGAGTGGCCCCTGTGTGTCAGCTGCCATCTGGGGAAACAGCAGAGAGGCTCCCCTCGCCTGCTGCCTGCAAGGACAGGCTCAGGTTCAGTCTCTGTTCGGGGAGGTCTGGGGCAGCTGTCCCCAAGGCCCACGTTTATGAGGCACCTACTGTGTGCCAGGTGGTGTAGATCCCAGACCCCATGGCCCCTTCCATCAGGGCACAGAGGGAGGCCAGTGCCCCAGGTCAGAGCCTTGGGAGGAAGACACAGCCTAACGACGGCTGGTGTATTTGAGGAGGTCTGGGGCTGCTGTGGCCCAGGCTGGGACGGACAGTGGTGTAAGAGAAGGCCAGGGGCCATGGGGTGTGCTGGGGAGCGGCGTATGGGTCCCGCTAGGTGGGCTTTTGGAGGGCTCCCGCGGGATCAGCGGGGACTGGGGCGAGGGCGGGAGGAGGGCCATCCGGGCCGGGGTGTCAGACCACCGAGGGACGAGCCCGTCTCCCCCCCAATCCCAGCCCCAGCCGCGGCCCCGCCCTCTCTCCGACTCCCGGAAACATTTTGCGGCCAATGGCGCCCTCTGCTGGCCATGTTGAACATCGCCCCGGCGCTTGGCTCTCTGCCCAGGAGGGGGGAGGTGTGAATTGATGTACTTAGAGGACCATGTGTACCTCCTGCTCCCGCGACCTCAGCTAGGAGTCTGGCTCCGGGTGGCCTCCACCTGTGTGGAGGAGATCTGGGCTCCAAGGTAGCCACTAGGGGCTAAATTCAACTCCTCATCAAAGACAAGTCCACCCCCCTTCGTGTCCAGGGCAGAGCCCCACTGGGACAAGTCAGACAAGGAGGGAACGAGTGGGCTGGCTTTGGGCCACAGTCCCAGGTGCAAGTCTGGGCCGATGCCAGACGTGGGCCAGGAGGAGTGGGGTTGGGGCCTGCCTGGCCCTTTAAGAGGGGCACTGGGAGAGGGGGCCTGTTGCCCAGCAACGGGAGAGCGTGTGTGTACTGGTCGCTGGGAAACCAGACGCGTCCTGCTGCTGGGGACAGAGCGGCCTCAAGCGACCCTGCTGACCGTGCCCGGCGGCCCTCTTCCTTCCGTCGGGCGGGAGCGGGGCTGGCTGGCACCATGGCGCAGACGGACGTGCTCCTGACCAAGGAGCCGGCCCCGCAGTCGGTGCCGGCGTGCGAGCTGCCCCGGAAGCTTTACGACGTGGCCCGGAACACGGGCGCCTACACGTCCTCGGGCCTGGCCACCGCCGGCTTCCGCTCGGCCAAGTACCTGGTGGACGAGTGGTTCCAGAACTGCTATGCCCGCTACCACCAGGCTTTCGCCGACCGCGACCAGTCGGAGCGGCAGCGCCACGAGAGCCAGCAGCTGGCGGCCGAGACGGAGGCGCTGGCGAGGCGCACGCAGGAGGCCGCCAGCAGGCAGGTGGGCGCGCGCCTGCAGGACATGCACTGCTGGAAGTCCGAGCTGCAGCGCGAGCTGGGCGAGCTGGGCGCCGAGACCGACCTGCTGCTGGCCCAGAAGCAGCGGCTGCAGCTCGCCCTGGACGCCACCGCCGTGCCCTTCTCCATCGCCACCGACAACCTGCAGTGCCGCGAGCGGCGCCAGCACCCGGACCTGGTCCGCGACCACGTGGAGATGGAGCTGCTGAAGGTGCGGGGCCCCTTCCGGCCCTGCAGGCCCCGCCCCTGAACCGCAGAGCCCGCCCCTTCCACCACCCTCCGGAACCGGAACCTCAGATCCTGCGGCCCTCGCCCTTCTCCCAGGAGCATGGCAGAGGGTGGGCAGGTTTCCACGGTTCCCACGTGTGCCCGCGACATGGGTTGACGGAGGCCTTGGCGCCGGTGTGCCAAGTGGAGTGTGCCCACAGGAAAACCTAGAGCACGTAATGCTTTGCACACACACCCACGTGTGGAGCACACTCTCAGGTCCACTCCCAGGCACAGAGATGGTGGCTCTGTTTGTAGGTTGGGGACCAGAACGAACAAGGTGCTGGGGCAAGGTCAGGGCTCCAGCCATCCACCAGAGGTGCTATTGCCAACCCCAGGAGGGTGCCCGGCCTGACCTTCCCACAGTCTGGTCTTCATAGTGAGTGAGACAGTGAGTGAGGCTGAGCTGTTTGCAAAGCAAGCCCCAGGTTGGACATGCTCCTGGGGGCAGGTCCCAGCGTAGGGCTTTGAGCATGTATGGGGGCTGGAGCAGGACCTCAGTGCGCATCTGCTCACCCCAACCCCATGTCCAGGGCCCCTGCACTGTCCTCCACCTATTATGGGTCATACTGGGGTGAGGTGGGGCCCAGGCTGTGACAGAATTCACATCTGGACATGTCTTGTGGGCATTTACCTGAGGATGGGACACTGAGGCAGGAGGGGGTCTGCCCAGGTCCATGCACAAGCCCTGATGCCCATCTCACACACACCCCAAGGATGGGGAGGCGCTGAGCTGAACCCCGTGGGCAGCGGCCTGAGGTCTGGGATGCATGCAGGGCCAGTCAGGTCCTAATGGTACCTGTACCCACTGGGTGCTCCTTGGTCACCCTTGGGTCCTGGCACCTGCTGGGTAGCTCCTTGGTCACCCTAGAGCATGCAAATTAATCTTGTCCCTGAACTAAAAGCCCAGCCCACCACATCTCCCCCTACCCTGATGCCCGTGGTGGACATGCAGGCACACAGCCCAGGATGCAGGGTAGATGGGTGAGGGATGGAGCCACCTTCATCCCACAAGGAGCCTTTCCCGCTCCAAACTGAGCAGGACCTGACCCTGGGACAGCCCCATGGGAGCCGGGAATCACCCAGGCCAGTCCCCCGATCCAGGCAGGGCAGAGCTCACACCCTCTCAGAGCCCGGGGGCCTGGCTTGTGAACAGGCAAACAGCCAGTCCAAGGGCTCAGGGCGCCCCTGTGCTCTCCCAGGTCAGGCCACAACCTTGAGTCCCTCCCCTTCCCTTGCGGGCCCCAACCCCTCTTGGTCTCCTACCACCTCAGCCCTGCACTCAGCTGCTCAACAACCCCCCTGCCCTTAGCCAAGAAATGTGCCCCCTCCCCCCCAACCCAGTTGCATCTCAGGCCTTGCCCCACCCCACCCCACCCCAATATGAAGAACCAACAACGGTTCAGAGACAGGGAGATGGACCAAGGGACAGACCCTGACACATGTGTGTTTAGTGCCAGAGGGAGGCAAAAATCCAAATGGGTGTGTGTGTGTGTGTGTGTGTGTGTGTGTGTTGCTGTTTGTGCACGGAAAAGAAAGCCACTGCAGTAGCAGAAAGAAACACAGGGCTTCCCCCTATATTCTCAGTGGAAGAGAGAGGGCCCCTCTGAGCCCAAGGCCCTGGTGGGCAGCCAGGGAAGGCACAGCAGCCAGGGCCCCAAGAGTGCTGCTGGCCACCAGTGCCCTGGGCAGGCTGCAGGGATGGCCCCTAGAGCCTGGGGGTGCTGGGTGCCAGGCAAGCGAGAGCTGCTTCTGGGCGACAGTCCCAACAGCCCATAGAAGCGACCCCCCCCAAAACCCACCACACTTTGCTACACCAAATAGAAGGTTCAAAAGCCCTTCTGGGCTGGGCTCAGCCTTCATTTTGCAGGAAAGAGAGTGGGGTCTGGCCCAAAGTTACCCAACCAAGGATCAGGTGTTGGCCTGGGCATTTAAGGGACTGACTGATCCTCACCAGGGATGGGGGTCTTCTCCCCCAGGAGGCCGAGCTTCTCCGGAACATTCAGGAGCTCCTAAAAAGGACCATAATGCAGGCTGTGAACCAGATCCGGTGGGTCTTCGTGGTCCCCAGGGCCGCCCTCGGATGTCCCCCTCTCCTCACCCCTTGGGCTGGCTCTGGGAAGAAAGTTGGGGTGTCGAGGCCCTGAGTCTCAGAGAGGTGGGGTCTTGTCCCAGGTCACAGCCAGGACCATGGTACAGGGCCATGTAGGGGTAACTGGGCGGGGGGAGGGGGGTGATTCCTGCATGCCCTGGAGGGGTGGGCGTCCAGATCGCAGGCCAACTTTCCAGGACACTGTTGGTCGGGTAGAGCCTGGGTGGCCCGAGGACCCCCGTACTGGGCAGATGAGGAATCCCGGTTCTCAGCTGAGAACTGGAGGCGTGCTTGCTCGTGGGGGCAGCACCCAGTGTCCCCAGCCCCGCCCCAAACAAGTGCAGACGTGCCCACTCCAGGCTGAACCGGGAGCGCAAGGAGACGTGTGAGATGGACTGGTCGGACAAGGTGGAGGCCTACGACATCGACCAGACCTGCGCCCGCTACCGCAACCAGAGCACCGAGGTGCAGTTCTACCCGCACTCAGCCAAGTTCGAGGAGAGGTGGGCCACCTCAGCCGCGGCGCCTCCCAGGGGCCCCTCATCAACCCCTTCTCCGTGCCCCCCCCACCAAGACGGGGCCCCAGCTCCTGGCGCCTCCGCCGGGGATCCTCCAGAGCCCCACTGGCCCCGAGGCCTCACGCGGAGGGCCCAGCGCTGTGTGCTCCAGCGCGGGCAGGGGCGCAGGGTCCCGCCCCGAGTGCCCAGCTACACACTGCACCCGAGGGCTGCGGCCACGGAGGAAGGCAGGGCTGGGCTGGAGGGCGGCTAGCAGGGCACGGGTGTGGGGCGCGCTCGGAGGAGTGCAGGGTGGAAGGGCGCGGGGGGAGGGGGACAAGGACGCAGGGTCCACGTGTACGGAGGTCACGCGCGAGCGCGGGGGCTGGGGGTGGTGATTGTGCTGGGGGTCACGCGGGGGGCGCGGGAGGGCTGGGTGCGCCGAGCCGCTGACAGGTGCCCCCCTGACCGTGGGCCGCTCCCCGCCTGCAGCGCCTCTACGCCGGAGACGTGGGCCCGGTTCACCCAGGAAAACCTGTACCGCGCGGAGCGCGAGCGCCTGGCGTCGGGCAACCTGCGGGTGCTCATCGATTGCATCCTGCGGGACGCGGCCGAGGACCTGCGGCTGCAGTGTGACGCCGTGAACCTGGCCTTCGAGCGCCGCTGTGAGGAGCTGGAGGACGCGCGCCACAAACTGACCGACCACCTGGACAAGGTGAAGCCTCCCCGCCCCCCGCCCCGCCCGGGCACAAGCCACGCCCAGAACAGACCACGCCCACACCCCAAGCCACGCCCGTCCAGCTTAGGCCACGCCCACACTTCCAAGCCACGTCCGCCCAGCTTAGGCCGCGCCCACACCTCAGGCCACGCCCGCCGGGTGGCCCAGTCTAGGCCACGCCCACACCTCAGGCCACGCCCGCCGGGTGGCCCAGTCTAGGCCACGCCCAAGCCACGCCCTCGGAGGGGTAACTACTGAGGGACCAAGCCCCTTGTGGCCCAGCCCTGCTCCTGGCGACTATGCCTTGGTCGCGGCCTGGCCTGGTCCCTGCCCCTCCTCTGCCCCATCCATCCTGAGGGACCCCAGAGGCAAGGCGCCCACTCCTCCCTGGGCACCTTCTAAGTCAGTGAGAAAGCAGGTGGCAGTGGGGGTGGCTGCCAGGCAGGAGCAGAAGGGAGAGTGGCAGGGGGTGGCCAGGCCTGGTCGGGCCCTGACCCCAGGGCCTCAGGGCGGCCTTTGCTGCTGCCAAGTCTCTCCGGTTCTGGACCAGGGTTGGGGGCCTGGTGACCACTGGGACTGAGGGCACTCGGGCCGGAGCTGCTGGACAACAGGCTCTACCACCCCGCCTCTGCCCTCTGGGTGCCCTTGGCGGGGTCGCGGTGGCCGCACACACCTTCTGGCCTCCGCGGCTCCCCCAGGGCCGGTGGACAGGGGAGGCCGGGGGGGCGGGGGCGCACGCTGGCCGTCCCAGGGCCCATCCTGTGTGCAGACGCTGCGGGAGATCACGGACCAGGAGCACAACGTCGCAGCTCTGAAGCAGGCCGTCAAGGACAAGGAGGCGCCCCTGAAGGTGGCCCAGACCCGCTTATACCAGCGCTCAGGCCGGCCCAACGCGGAGCTGTGCCGGGACTCCGCCCAGTTCAGGTGCCTGCGTGGGGGTGGGGGTGGGGGGGCTGCGGCCGCAGCGCCGTCCCCAGCGGGGCAGGCGCCCCCCGCCCCGGCACGACTAGCCCCGGATGCCCCTTGCCGGGCGCCGTCAAGGCTGCGAGTCCCAGGGGCAGCGTGGCCCTTCTTCACTCCGCTGCGCAGGCTCCGGGCAAAGGACGCCCCTGCACCCTGCCTCCGGGCGCCGCCCTGCCTCCGTGGGGCCGTGGCCCCGGGCCTGAGGTCGCGCGGGGGCCGTGCCTCGGGTGTTTCTAACTCACCGAGCACCAGCTGCTCTCGCGAGCACTCCACGTCTGTCGGCCCGGGTGTTGCTCCTTCCCAGCCCGCAACGCGCCCCGGGGCGTGGGGCCTCGCGCCGCTGGGCGCCAAGGACCGAGGGAGCCGGGCGCCTCCGCGCACCCCTGCCGTTGCCTGTAACTGCCGCACGGTGTCGCTACAGAGCCCCGCACGGTCCCGCTCACGTAGCCTTTCCCCGCCTGTGGGGGGGCAGCCGGTGGGCGGCGGCCCTGCCCACGCCCACACCAACGGCAGGTTTCCCTTTCGGACTTTTGGGTCCTTCTGTGGTCCAGCATCTTGGCCTGGACCCCTGGCCAGGCTTCCTGGGTCTTGACCGACCTGGCCTGCAGCCCCCAGCTCATGCCTCCCTCCCCCAACCTCACAGGCTGGTGAGCGAGGTGGAGGAGCTGAACATGTCCCTTGCGGCACTGAAGGAGAAGCTTCTAGAAGCCGAGCAGTCGCTGCGCAATCTGGAGGACACACGCATGAGCCTGGAGAAGGACATTGCCGTCAAGACCAACAGCCTCTTCATCGACCGCCAGAAGTGCATGGCCCACCGTGCCCACCACCCCACCATCCTCCAGCTGGCCGGCTACCGGTGACCAGGGCACCACAGCCTGTGCGCCTGTGGCCTGGCTGGCCTTGGGGAAGGGGCTGTCCCCCCGCCCCTCAAATAAAGAGCACGTTAGCTTTCTACTTGTGATGTGTGGTTCACAGTGGAGTCCAGATACTGCTACCTGCCAGGGGGTCCCGGACTATGGGGGGAGAGGGGTCGGCACTGACTGGTGGCCCTGGCCCCCCAGCAGCTCCGAGTCCACTGAGGCTCAGACGGGGGCCCTCTGTCCACCGGAGATGCCACCACGGATGCCACAACACTCGTCCCCAGCAATGACCAACGCCCTTTGCTTTTTCTTCTGTGGCCTGGACACTGTCACCGGGAGGCCAGCCACTCGGCCCGGCGGGACTGGGCCCTGGGCTGCGAGCAACCATACAGGGCCCCAGGCAGGGCCTGGGACAGTGACCGCACAGGACACCCATGGGGCCTCTCCCTGCCCCCTCCACCTGGCACGGGGTGGGCACCTGGGGGGATCCTCCACTCCCAGCCACCGTGGTCACCTCGGGTGGCCAGCTTCCCGGTCCAGCCTCTCCTCAATGGAAAGTGAGTCAGGCCGGGGTGTGGCGGGTGCGGGCAAACAAGGCTCCCGCTGTCCCCCTGGCACTGCACCATCCTCCCCGTGTGGCCGAGGCTCTGGGCACAACTGCAGCGTCCCCCGCCCCCTTGTCACGGCTCCTGGCAAGGAGACCCCTCCCTGTGCCCACCCCACCGATGCGGGCAGCTCCCAGTCGCTGTCTGCCCACCCCGCCCTCGGACAGCTCATCAGCAGAACTCTCCAGAAAGCTCCGTCAGGGCCCTGGGAGATAATGACCCCGCAGTGCACACACCCGCCACTCAGCCCATTACCGTCTGTGCTCAGGGCCTTCTCATCCCAGCCCCCACCCCGGGGGGCCGCTGTCGGAAGCTAAGTGTGAGTAGAGTGCGGTGCTTGGCTCATTATCTCTAAAGTGGGCTGGTGGCCCCAGGCTGGGAGGGCACAGTCCCCGGGGGCCGCCCGCAGGGGCTCAGCAGCCGTTGCCTCCTGGCTGGGATTTGTTCCGTTGCAGAGACCAACGATCAGGCCCAGGCCAGGAGCTGAGCGACGGCTTCCTGAGTCCCGACCCCCCACCGCCTGGCCAGGCTCGTGGGTGCAGCCCGGTCCTCTCCAGCGGCCCCCAGAGGTCTTGATCCTGCTGGGCTCCAGGGCGGTGCAGGGGTCCTAGGGGAGGGGCAGGGTTGGCTCAGGCGGCCACAGCAGTGGCGGGTTGCCGTCCACCCTGCGCTGCCCTCGGGCCCCTCTGCCCACACCGGGCCTGCACTTGAGTCTGCGTCTGGGGGAGCGTGCTGGGGCTGGGGGTAGGAGAATGTTCCAGAGGCTGCAGGGGCGCCCACTCCCCGCTCCCCCTGCAAGCCCCCTGCTGCCCCAGAGGGGCCCTGGCACAGCTGGCTTACCCTTGGCTTCCTTCCAAACACCTTGGGGTTCTTGTCTGTGGAGACTTCTGGCCTGGCCACACGGTCACTCATGGTGAGTGAGGGACCCCAGCGTGCGAGGCCCAGAGCCCACGTCCATTCCTCCCAGGACCACCTGCGTGGCCCCTTTTAGTGAAGTCTGTAGTAACGGGCACTTGGTCTACTCCCCGTACCACCCCCCCAAGTGAGGGCCAACCGCTGAGTTGGGGGCTGTGGGGGCCATCAGGTCCCCCCGCCCAGGCTGGAGTCACAGGACAGTGTGGCCCTCCTGGGCTGCGGCGGGTGAGGGGCAGTGAGGGAGCCCAGCCCCCCCCCCGCAGGTGACGCCGTGGGCGTCTGTGGGCTGCTGACCCCGCGGGGCCCCAACGCTCAGCACACTCCGTCGTCACGGAGATGTCAGGCCGCGTGTGCAGGGAAGGCTATTTCTGTCCAGGTCCTCCCGCCACCTGCTGAGTCACCCCAGTCCTTGCTGACCACCTCCTCTCAGAGCTTGGGCGCCGCCCACCCGCCCCCAGGCAAAGGCTTTGCAGCCGGGGTCTCATCCAGGCCCACCCAGACCAGAGGGACCCCAGGACCCCTTCCAGGCCCTTCATCCCCCCTCGAGGAGGTGCCCCCCCTCAGTGCAGGGAAAATTTAACTCACTGTCCCCTCCCCGGAAGGGAAGTGCGGTGTGACCACCCACCTCAGTGGGGGATGGGCAGCTCTGCTGGCTAGTGTCAGGGGAGGCACGGGGGAGGGACGCTGGGGCCCTGCAGTGTGGCCGGAGCCTGCCAAGCCCCCCAGGGGCTGTGCTCTACCTGCGTCCACCCACCACAGGGGACTCCAGCCCATTGGTGTCCATTTTACAGGTGGGGAAACTGAGGCACGGACGCAGGGAGCAGCAGAGCTTGGGCATCTGCTCCTCTCGCGGTGTCCCAGAGGCAATAGCAGTACTGCCAGAGGGGCTGCCCCCACCTGTCCTGGGCCCTGCCTGCCTGACGCGCCGCCCGAGTGGCCCTGGGGGCCGCCTGGTCCCAGAGCCAAGCCCCCCAGCCCCCGGCAGCTGCTGACAAGGTGTGGGGACCTGCAGGGCCTTGGGCTTCCACCCTGTCTCTGTGCCACCTGCAGACTGGGGGGTGTGAGGACAGCTGTCCCCAGAGGGGCGGCCGGGCCCTGCCGGGGTGTGAGCTGTCAGCGCCGGGGAACAGCTCCAGCTGGCGCGGCCGCTGCCTACAGCCTCACACCCCGCACCCCCTCAGCCTGGCAGAAGCCCCCGCCCGTGGGCCCACTTTCCCCCGTGCTTGCCCCCACCCCGCCATCAGTCCTCCGAGTCTGTCTGGTGCCTCCCCCACAGGCAGCAGGTTGGGTGGGGATCACGCATCCCCACATCCGGGGGGGGCCAGGGCGCCCGGAACCTGTCCCTGGGCCCTGTGTCCAGCCGTCCAGACCCCGGGCGGGATGAGGCCAGGCCCCGTGTGGGCTCCACCTCCAGCTCGCAGTGGGCGCAGCCCCTCCTGTGCTGCTGGGGGTGGGGGGCCTGTGAGTCATTCCCCCTGGGGGGCGTCACATGCCCGCCCTTTATTTCTGAGAGGCTGGGCCGACGGCCCCACCGGGGGGCCACAGCACGTCTCCTGCTCTGCTGGGCACCGCGACTCGGGGGTGGCACCTCGGGGTGGGGGGGGCGGACACCAGGGGGCCTGGCCAGAGACGGGAGGCTGTCCCCGTCACCAGGTGGGCCGGGCACAGGCATGGTGGCCCGGGTCTGTCCACTCCCCCCTCCCCACTTCGGCCTCCAGGCCCTCACCGGACTCCACCCAGCCCCAGCTCTGGCCTCCCTGACTCCCTGCCAGGTCACCGCACCCCAGATGGAGGCCGATGGGCAGCCCACGGGGCCATCGCCCGACCCATCAATCCCAGCCACCGCAGGCGCCCCAGGCCCCCAGACCCATGGCACGTCACAGGGGCTGGCGGGAGGACCCTAGAAGGGCTGTGCAGCCCCCGCAGCAGGCGGCGGGCAGAGGGCAGGCCGGGTGGCGGGCCCAGGGGCTCTGAAGCTGGCCCAGCGCGTGTTGGTCTTGGCTGGTCCGGGGGAGCCGTGGTGCCTGGGACCGCATGAAAGGGCTCTTTCACAAGCCTCCGGGGCAGTGACGCTGGAGACAGACAGGCAGGCAGCAGCGCCCGACCGTGAAATGGTAACCGGAAGCTTGGGCGTGGGTGGGGGGTCTTCACAGGCACCCGGGTGGGCTGTCCCCTGGGCAGGCCTGGGGGACCCATGATGCTCGAGACCTCAGGCATCGACCTGGCACCGACCTGTCTATGGAGCAGGATCCCCTAGGGCACTCATTCCTCTCAGGCCCCTGGAGGGGTGCCTTGCAGGGTCCAGCGCAGCTAGAAGCATGGGTCAGGGTCTGCTGGGCTCTGGGGTGGAGGTAGGGTCAGGGTCTGCTGGGCTCTGGGGTGGGGGGGTAAACAGAAGGGGCCCCACCTCCCGGAAAGCTCACCCTGTGAGTGGGTTGCAGACACATTGTGCAAGAGGAAAAAACTTCTTCTGGGCTGCAGTCCCCAAGGGCTTCCTGGAGGAAGATCCCAGGTCTTTTCTCAGCAGGGTCGTACCAGAGGGAAGAGTGAGGACCCTGACCTCACACATGTGCCCTTACAAGAGATCTGCCCTGGGGTGCAGCCATGGGGAGACTGGCCGGGGAGGTCTGCTGGCCAGGGGCAGCACGGGTGGGCCAGGGTCAGTCAGGGTCTCCTGGGGGAGGGGGGCAGAGGCGGGGCCCCAGGCCTGCTGGAGGTTAAGGATGGTTTTTCCATCCTGGGGACCTTCCCAAGTTGCCCTTCCTCCCCTGGCAGCTTGGGGTGTGGGTGCCGCCCTCTGCCAGGCTCGCCAGCCTGCCTCGGGGAAACTGCCTCGGGGCCCCACCTCCCAGCAGAGGGACACAGCCCTTCCCCGCCCTTCCCCCAGCAGCAGCTGCCCCTCCCACTGGTGGGTGGGAGCCCCGGAGAGCTGAACCGGAGCACCCCTCCCCCATGATGGCTCTCCTGCGCCAGGGGCGGGGTCCCCAGCCGTGGCGGCTTTGGGGGCTAGGACCCTGTGACTGCAGGCCGTTATGGCATCTGCTCCAGGCCAGAGCCAGGGCTCCAGGGAGGGGTGAGGGTGCCACAGAGACGGAGCTGGAATGCCAGCTTGGACAGGGCGGGGCTGCGTCGACCACCCTTGCGGGGGGGGGTGGGGGGGCGGGCGCTCCGGAGGGACAGGTGTGAGCTGCCCCTGCGCTAGCCCCTCAGCCTGGTGGCTAGCGCCCCTGTGGCGGCGTGGAGGGGGATTCTGAGGCCACGCCCAGGTCCGGGTAAAAGTGCAGCCATGTCTGTCAGGGGTGTGGGCCAGGCGCCCTGCCCTGTCTGCTGCCCACTGCGGCCCCTGGAGGGCCCCCGATCGTCCATCCCCACAAGGACAAGTCCCTGGCCTTATTTTCCGTGTCCCCCAGACAAGGGTGCACAGCCTGGGCCGCTGTGGGGTTCGGGGCTCAGTAGGGGCACCTCTTCTGAGATGCCACCCCCCACCCCCACCAGGCTCTGGCACGGATGGCGGCCCCTGGCCTCCTGCTCCTCCTGGGGCTGCCTGTGGGGGCCTGGCCCAGCCTGGGGCCGC